TATACAATTAAGCATTGCATACATCACATAATCTCATATCTAACACAAGATTAAACAAACTGTGATATTGATTTCAGTTTATTAAGCATAAACAGATTATAATTCAACACTGAGATTGAGAGATAAAGAGTTAAAAAAAAACGAAATAGAAGAATAAAACCTCAAAGATCTACTGTATTCTCCTCATAAAATCAATACAAAGATTTAATTATCCATGGAAAATTGAAAACGTAGAAGAAGAGATATAATTAAAATCAAAACAAGATTTTAAAATAATGACAGAAGAGTAAATAAACTTAAATACAAAATGTAGAAGATGAAATTGGCATTATGAAGATGCAACTCTATGATGCGACTGCGTGATCACTAACATAAATAACCCTAACCCTAATTGACAGGGTCTCCTCTAGGTTTGGGTCCAACTGGCCCACAAAACACATCATAAGTTGGTTTCAATGCAGTTTTACGAACTTCAAACACGTGCAGTATTTTCAATACTTATCCAAATTCAACGATTCTAGTCTCCTTTGAAAGCTTTTTGAGTTAGCTTTAAAACGTCATTGTTTCTACTATTTTAGGAGGTCTAGTGAATTTAAGATACTTAAAATACTGAAGCATGTCCATTGGGCTGACCTGGTGCGCTTAACCCCTTTTTGATAATTTATGTAAAATCCAATTTAACTCCGAATTGAATGGTTCTTGATCCTCTGGAAAGATGAATGTGTCTAGTTTATCATGCTTCCAGAAAAATGATTTTAGGAGCTCTATAGAAAAAATGATAAATAAAACAAAAACCTTAATCCAAATGGATAGCTAGCATGACATCTGGCCCAATCTTCCAAGCCCAAAATTGCTTTAAACTGTCTTAAAAATAATTATGAGTAAAAATTAGATCACATAGATTCAAATAAATTAAAATCTGAATTACTGGCCCAATGAAACCCACATAATAAAAATTCACTAATAACATACAGTTAAGCCCAAAACACTAATCAAAATAAGTACGGAAAATTAAGAAAATATGAGAATATAATGACTCATTAATACTCAACTTTAAATGAAGAAATTTTCAACAAAACAAACAAAGAGAATCGAAATTCTGATTAAAAAGGCAAATGAATTGGAAAATTATAATGGGATTACAATTTTTTTTTAGGAATCTAAAAAAATGCATTTCTATCAATTATTATGATATTACATATTCATATTCAATTGAATACAAAAAAATCCATTCGGGGTTGTCAAGAAAGAAAAAATATATTTTTTAGTATTTTGGGGAGAATATGATTAGAGTATGTAATGTGTAATAAGACTTACATTTTTGAAACATGTGTATATTTAACTCTAGTTATAGATTTGTCTCTACCTTTAATGCAGTCAGTCATATTTATTCAGGACAACACATAACATGTTGTGTAAATTAAAAAAAAAAGAGAAGCAAGAGAATTTCTTGAAAATTGCTTATAGTGTCAATATTCTATTCTATCTATATAGATTTAGATATGAATAAGATACTCAATTAGGTAATATCAGTGTAACTATTCAAATTTATGTTCTAGGATTTATATATATTGGCCATTGTTGTTATAATTGAAATGAACAATTTTTTTTAATAAAAAAACAATATTGATAGATTATGTATCAAATTTTATTTTCTGATCTCATCAAGAAAAAGAAAACCATTTTAGATTCATATATTCAAGAATAATTCATAAATTTATAATTAATGATTGTAATTTGTCTTAAGATTGTTTTTCAATTTTTCAATAGAAAAAAAATGATATTCTCGTCTCTATATATATATATATATTTATTACCGACATGGCCGAGAGGTAAGGTGAGGACTGCAATTTTTTTTCTCCATTCAAATCTGGGTGCCACCTGATTATTTAAATTGAAATATTATATTACATTTTTTAAAAAACTATTTTCGACAAAAATAAGGGAAGGAGGGAAAAAAAGTCTTAAGAATTTCGTTTAACGGTTCTATAATATAATATATATATATATATATATATATATATATATATATATATATATATGATTACATTTTAACGATAGTATGAAACTATCTCCTTCGTATATAAGATAAAAATTATTTATATTTTTTATTCACACTAATGTTATTTTAGAGAAAAAAATCATTCTACCACCTTTTAATGAATAATTATATAAAATTATGAAATATAATTTAATTAAGTTCGTACTATTTTTTAGTCTTATAATTGATGTGCGTTTCTTTAAAATTTTATAAATCTTTAATAATTTTGATAATATATTTATTATAATTTATCAAATATATATAAATAGATATAGAATTATATTTTTAATTCTTTTAATCATATTATGTTTATATGTTTTAATATAATAATTGATGTAATTATTTTTTTTTCAAAATATGTATTATTTTGATTGAAATTTACTTTTAGTTCTAATAATTTTATCTAGATCATTATTTTATCATCGAGATTTTTAAAATAAAATATAAATAAAATTAAAATATCATCTAGTTATTAACAAAAACGTTAACATATTTCAAAAAATAAAAATTATTACTAAATATCTTTATTAATATAAGTAACTCACACTATCACTTATTGATTTATTAAGTTTTTTTTGTAATAATTTACATAACATAATAGCAATTGATAAATGCTTTAATTTAAAATGTCTAAACGTAAATTAACATTACATATTAATAAACATAAGAAAAATATTAATGAATTTAGTTTAAAGGCAGAATATGTTATGATTATGCAAAAAAAAATACTTATTTTAATACCATTAAAAACATTTGTTTGTTTTATAATATTTATTAATGATTTTATTAAATTTTTAATTATCTATATTAAAAAACGTTATTTTTATGTCATATAAATCATTAATGCCATTAATATTTTTAAAGAATTTTTATTGGAAGTGAAAAATATAAGATTTGAAAAAAAAGTTAATTTTTGGAAAGATTGAATTTTATCGTCTCAATAAAAAAAAATCATTTTTTTCATTTTCTTACATGTAAGCGAAGATTTGCGAGAAAATTAGGATATTCTATTAGTTTAGTTGAGATAATCAATTATTTCAAATGCTTTAAAATGTTACTTTCTTTTTTAATTTGAATAATAATAAGAATAATAAATAAATAAATAATATATTAAAAATAAATGATTTTATTTTATTTTCTATATTTTTGTTTTTTTTTCATTCAACTAATTTTTTTTATAATTTTAATTTTTTTACTATTTATTATTATTAATCAAATTAATCTTATAGATTATAATTTTATTTTTTATCTAAGCAATTTATTTTTCATTTTCTTTCTTATTTTTTACCTCATCAAATAATTTTTTAATCTAAACACAAGTGAGATGATTGTTAACAATGATAATTTTTTATGAAATCAATTTTTTATTATGTATATTATACATTATTTTACACATCATTTAATAATATATTAAATATAAAATTAATTATATATTTAATGGTAACCATTAAAAACTTAATAAAATTATTATATCAAATAAAATATTGTAATTATATTAAAAAAATATTTATTATAATTCTTATATAAAAAATATATTTTAACCTTAATTCAAGACCGATGAATAATCATTGAACTAATACAAAATAAACAACCGTTGTGATTGATGGACGGAAAAGCTGATTAGAAACTTTGCTATCAGATTAGTGGGGTCCACTTTTGAGTGAACAAAATTGACCTACAAATGAAGGGTCATAATTGTGGGGTTGACCAAAGCTATCATGGTGCTGCTACTGTGTGTTCAGCACAACATAAGCTTACAAAGAGAATGCCTATATAAACATTTGCTTGAAACTCTTGTTTTCTTCCTCATGCTTCTTTTTTTTTTTTTCAATTTTTTTTTTCTATCTGAAATGGAGCACTTTGCTTTGGGCCTCTTTTGATCTTTGAATCTGTAAGTGCTTTCATCCCCTTATCTGATTTTATTCTATGAATTTGTGTTGCTAGTTGCATGTTCCAGGGCCTTTCCAGATAGCATGCCTTTTTCTTTTTAAATTTTTTTTTATATCTAGTGACGGGTTATCTCTGAATAGGGTTTTTGCTACTTTGGGTAAAAAATTGATCTTTTTATTTTGCATGAAATCAAAATTTCAATTTTGGGTTCTTAGAACAAAGAGTGAGAGGGGATGAATTGGGTTGAAAGAGATTGAAGTTTTTATTAATTGGGGCTTTCTACAAGGTGATGTGCAGCTTCACCTGGGAGTAAAGAGTGTGAAGGGTAAAGGTGTTTTCTTTGTTCTGATTTTGTGTTTAAGATATTAATATGTACTTAAAAGGGAAATCTTGGAATTTGAAATTCCTGAATATACTATGAAGAAAATATTAGCTTGGTCTTGTGATTACTGTGTTGGTATTGACTTCAATGAAGGCTTATAGCCTTAGCTAGGTTTACCCACGTCAAAAGTTGATTTAACTAAAGTGTAGAGAGATATTTTGTTTCATGGATTTGATTCCTGTATTCAATCGTAATTTCAAGTGGCATGGGATATTTGTATTCTTATGGACATCTATGTTGAATGGCATATTTCTTCTAATTGGTTGTCATGCTTAATTTATCTTTTATCTGCCCCCTTTTGTCTCTCTTTCCTTTCAAATTTTCCTTGACCACCCTTTATTATTTCTACTTAGTTGGACCTTTGAAACATAATCTAATGCCATATGGTCCTTGGTTTTTGTAAATTATTATACTCTATTGATGTTCTTTGTGAATGATCCATGTTTGGTATTTTGGTGAGTTTGAGTTGGTTGCTGAAGGCCCAACACAACCCTCCTCTTTAACAGGGGCTTACAAAGAGCCTTGGTTTTTTGATGAAGCTGAATTCCTGTGTGCAATCCATGTTGCTGATCCTACCTAGTGGGATAAGACTTTGTTGTTATTTTGTAGTTTGTAGACTGTATCAAGTTCCTTAGTCATATTTCCTTTGGTTTTCAGTGATCCAGATATTTTGATAAAGAATTTGAAATGGATGCAAATGGGAGGCTACGTGCTAACACCTGGGCAAGGTCTTCATCCTTAACCTCTCCTGCAAGTGGTTTAGCCTCGGATCCTCTGTCTTTCCCAGGTTTTGGTTTGCAGAATAATCAACCCAAATGGGATGATCCCTCAAATTCAGATTATGGGATCAGGGCAGAAGTACCTTTCAAAGAATTCAACCAACCTTCTCAAACTCAGTCTCCGCTTCCTTGCAACTCAAACAATGAGATTGAGATCCCTGATCAAGAAAACTGTCATCTGAATGAATCATCACAAACCAGTACACTCCAAGATTGGGAACCCAATGTGATTTTGAATAACCTGTCTTTCCTGGAAGAAAAGATTCATCAGCTCCAGGATCTAGTGCATTTGATTGTTAGTCAAAAGGGCGTTGGACAACCTAATGAACTTGTTACTCAAGAACAACAGCTCATCACAACTGATCTTACATCAATCATTATTCAATTGATCTCTACTGCAGGTAGTCTTCTCCCTTCTGTTAGGCATAACCTTGCAAATGCAAGTTCATTGATTGGACAGATTGACCAGCTTCGTGGGGCGACGGTTCCTTCTGGAACTGGTGGAAGTGGCAGCTTTATCCAACCACAAAATAATGGTGAAAAAAAAAAGTCTGATCAGTCCATGCAGACTGATCTACCTAATAATGGTGAAATGGAGCCAAACTACAATATGGTAGAACAAGAACTCAAAGATGAAGAAGATGTAGATGATGGAGAAAACCTTGCCCCTGGTTCGTATGAGATTCTACAACTAGAGAAAGAAGAAATCCTTGCTCCTCATACCCATTTCTGTACAATTTGTGGGAAGGGGTTCAAGAGAGATGCAAATCTCCGAATGCACATGCGTGGCCATGGTGACGAGTACAAAACCCCAGCAGCGCTTGCAAAACCGCACAAAGAATCCGGGTCACCAAAGCTTATCAAGAGGTATTCCTGTCCCTATCCTGGCTGCAAGCGCAACAAGGATCACAAGAAGTTTCAACCTCTGAAAACTATCCTGTGTGTCAAAAACCATTACAAAAGGACGCATTGTGACAAGAGTTACACTTGCAGCAGATGCAACACCAAGAAGTTCTCAGTCATGGCTGATCTGAAAACTCATGAAAAACATTGTGGTAAGGATAAATGGCTCTGTTCATGTGGCACAACATTTTCTAGAAAAGACAAGCTTTTTGGTCACATTGCTCTTTTCCAAGGCCATACTCCAGCCATTCCCTTGGATGACACTAAAGGGGTAGTTGAGGCACCCAATCATGACAGCAAAGAAAGCAGTAAGGTGGGGAATATGAACTTCACTTTTGGATCAACTCCTTCAAATGGAAATGATGTTGAAAATGTCATGGATGTTAAAGGCAATAGTGATGATCCTATCAGTTTTTTCTCATCATTGAACTTTGACACCAGCTTTGGTGGGTTTAATGAATTCACCAGACCTCTATTTGATGACTCAGAAGGCCCATTCTCTTTTGTCATGCCTGGATCTTTCAAATCTGGAGGAGAATCAAGTCCTGACAATCTTTTGTAACAATGTTAGTTAGTATCTATGTTTGTCTCTTCATGTGAAGATCTAAAACTCTCTGGTTTGTATTAAATATGTAAAGCCAGTTAATTTCCTATCCCTTCAAATTCTTAAGAAAGATGATAGATTTTCTTGAAGATTTTATCTTTATTTAAAACCTTTGGACAGAGAAATAAAAAATTGCGTGTGACCATCTCAGTTCTTCAACTACCTATGGCTATGCTGCAAAATGACTTCACGTTTACACTATGAGGACGCCTATAAATTTTTTGAAAAAACACACGTAGCAAATGAACAGTGAGATTCTTTTAATGGTAAAAATTGAAAATTATGAATGTAAATTATGTAATTTTACATAAGTGATAGAACAAGATATGTGATCACTTAAAAATCATGTATTTTTCTTTAACTTCAACTATTTAAGTATAATTTAATAGTTTATATATCTTACAATAAAATCACGCTTCTAAGAGTGAATGGCAAAATCATTTGAAATGTAAAGTTGAAATGATTCTTGCAATTGACTCAGGGTAAGACTAAGACTGAGTTGTCATTCGCTCACATCTTATTCTCCTCAACACCAATGTTTATTAAGGAAATTATTCAAATCTCCCTAAGATTATGAGAAATTACATAAGGACCTCCCTCGTTATCTGACATTACTTTTATCCGTTGTCGAGCTTTAGTTATTTTTTTTTAAATAATTCTTTACAAACAAAATTTATGATTGTAGTAATAATCAACCTCGTAGTTACTTTTTTATTATTACAGAAGTAAACGAGAGAGGCAAATGGAAACCCTAACCTAATTTTTGTTGTTTTTGTTTTCCTTAGAAAAGGTAGATGATTTGTCTTGTAATGGGCATGAACTAGGTAAAATTCTCCTATTTAACAAGGATTCTTATATTATGAAAATATTTGTTGAGAATACAAATAATAAATTTGACTTCTCTCTTTCATGGTTGGTCTTGGTCTTGGGTGTCTCTTAGGCTGATTGTCGCCGCAGAAGAGGCGGTCGGAACAACGCAATGATTTTATTGACTCGCGTTTTATAAAGAAGTGATTCAACGTCTTTAGGTTGTCCGATAACCGGACTGAACCTAAAGACAATATTTTCGAAAAGGTTCGAGGGAGTCGCCATCGATGTTTTTACCATAAATATCGAAAAAGGAAAAAAAAAAAGAGAAGAAGACATTGGTTTTAGAAAAAACCAACTTTGGCCACTATAACCAGAGTCGGGTAAGAGAGTTAGTTACGTGTGGGGAAGGTGTTAGCATCCCACAACGCCCCTTTTGGGTTCCTTATGATGAACTAGTTCAGAAAATAAATACTTAAAGAAATTATGCTTTTACCCTATTATTTTTACCTACTTGCAGAATTTAAATGTCTACATGGCCCTATTATCTAATACACACAATAAAAAGTGATAAAGAAAACAGTAAAAGAGAGAGAGAATAGGGAAGGAACCTCCGAAACAAGCTTTATATTAACCCTTCGAAACTTGAGGACGCTTTTTGGCAATCCCCGCACTCTACAGGCACGCTCCTCTCGCAAAAGATAAAATCTCACTCTACCGAGGACCGGACGTCTCAAAAGGAGACTTCCTTAACCGATTTCTACTTTAAACAGAAATCGAAAAGTTCACTCAAACTCTGGAATAATGCTCAGAGTCACTTAAAAGTGCCAAAAGGCTTCCTAAAGAGTGGTAGGAGTGAAAGGGTGTGAAAAAAATCGAGGAATGAGACTCCTATTTATAGGGAACCACGGCAGGAAAAAGTGGACGGCCGTCCATGGCAAAAAGTGGCCATGGATGACTGTCCATGTAGGGTGGACGGTCGTCCATAGCAAAAAGTTTCCATGGACAGCCGTTTGAGCCAAGTGGACGGTCGTTCATCGCCTTAAAGTAGGCATGGACGACCGTTTGACTGTCCTGAACGACCATATGTTATTTTCGACGAAATTTTTGATTTTTATTGCCTCTGGAAACCCTTCCTATCTTAAATGGAACCTAGAAAAATCTACTAAGGACTTAACAAAGTCTTGACCATCTTCGAAACGGGTTATCTCTGGCTTTATTTGGAAGCGGGGCAAGATTTGGGGTCTATAGCTGCTCCCCCTTAACCCGTCCAATTGACTATAGGTTAATGTACCATAAGGTCGATTGGCGGGTGAAGGAGTTAACCCTCTTGCCCGGTTTTCCTCTGGATGCTCCTCTTGTGGTGGTAGTTGACCCTCAGGACTATGAATGTAGTCTGGTGTTGTCTTTAGGATGCTTCCTTGCTGCGGAGACTGACCCTTAGGACGATATGTGTGAAGCTTCAGGATGCTCCTTTGATGTGGTAGCTCACCCTTTGGCTGATGAAGATTTTCCCCTTGCGATGCTCCTTTGATGCGGCAGCTGACCCCTTAGGTGGTGAATGCGTAGTAGACTCTTGTCTTCAGGATGCTCCCATGTTGCGAAAGTTGACCCTTAGGACGGTAAAGGTGGGTTGTGTCCTCCAGATACCCCTTTGCAATGGGGTTGATCCTTCAGATGATGTGTGGAACTCTATCTTCTGGATGCCCCTTTTGCTGTGGGGGCTGATCCTTCTGATAGAGAAGGTGGTGGCAGCTTACTGCTCTAGCTCATGCGCTGACTCCATGGGGAGTGATTTTGTCGGGGATTCTTTGATGAAAACCTCTTGAGTAGGTAGGAATTTGCTAAGGATTTGTTGATTCAAGTAGTGCCTTTGAATAGGCGGATTGCTTCATCAAAAGTGAAGGCTTTTGGCTTGTATTGTTTTGCCTATGCGTATGCGAGCGACTCACTGAGGATGGGTCTTTGCAAATGGCCTTTGCGGTAGGTTCACTGGGGATAAGTTCCTTTCTCTTTTTGGTTGATCCACCAGGGAGTTGGTTGGCTTCCTGGTGGTCAAATTTTGGTTCCCTCTGGGGAATGGGGTCTTGTCTCCTTAATTATGTTGGTGAAGGGCTTTTATGAAGCCTTCATTCTCCCTTGATGGATGTGATGGAGAAATGAGCTAAGTATGCTTGATGACTCGTAGTGGTGATGATGTTGAGTCGTGCGAGAATGTTTTTGTTTGCCTCTGGAGCAGGCAATGATCCGCTTGGGGATTTTGAGCCTTTCCGTCGGCTTTGTTTTGATTTGAATGTTGCCTTTTTCCTTATTTGGTGGAAAGATGGTAGTCGAAGCTTGGAAGCTTCCTATTTTACTCTGAGTTGCTTGTTTGATGACGACTTGCTCTGTTTTCTTGAGGGGGAGCATTATTTTGGAGACTTGGTCTGGATGCTTCCTGTTTTTCAATTGCAAATATGGAGCTAGTCTCCTTATGCAGGAGTCTAATTTTCATGATTTTGACAAAGTTTTTTTGTGCGACTATTTGTGTGTGAATGCCTTAAATGCAATCTATTTATTTGATGCATCTAGAAAGTGACTGCCCTTTCTGTTTGTTGGATGCTGACAAGTTCCGTTTTATTATTTTTGTTTAGCCATATCTTTTGCCTATACCGCCCTTTTTTGGGGTCTAGCAGACTGGACTGCCTTTACTTTTGCCTAGGATTTCTTAGCGTTTTTTTTTTAACGAATGCCATAACTTTTGCCTAGACCTCCCTTTTGGGGTTTTCGATCTAGCAGGCTACCCTAATTTTTGCCTAAGAATTTTCCTAGCAGGCTTTTATTATTTTTCCTTTCTTTTCTTATGCTTTCTTGTATTGGTTTTTTATGCATGCTTATGATTCATTTAACACAGATGCATTTTCATAATTTGGAGAGAAAAGAAATGAAAGACAATTTTATTGATATGAATAAATAGTTTATTTTTTACAGAAGGGTTTACAAAGGAATTTAGAATCATGGCTGGCCAAGGTTGGCTACACTGTATAGGTTATAACAATCATGCCCCTGATATCTACCCCCTTGGTTCTCCTAGTTGCTTTAGTCGAGATGCTCGAGCTCGGAGTGAAAACTATGCAAAGCTTGTTTGCTTCTGGAAGGACGTTACCTTAGTCGTCTTGCAGTTTTCAGCTAAGGTAATCATTGCTCTTTTTATTTTATTTCTATTTTTTAAACCTCTAAGTTTTGCCTTTTTATTTTATTTCTATTTTTTAAACCTCTAAGTTTTGCCTAGGACGTATCCTAGCGAGGTATATGGACCCTAACTTTTGCCCAGGACGCCCTTTGCGGGTTTTCATCCTGACGGGTTATGAGAAATGCCTTCAAGTGTAATACTTCTTCACCGCATCTGAATTGACTGGGTGTCGAAGTTCTTCTCCATCCATGTTGGTGAGGATAAGAGCTCCTCTTGAGAAGGCTCGCTTGAACACAAAGGGTCCTTCATAGTTTGTCGCCCATTTTTTGATTTTGTCCTTCTGGGTTGGAAGCAATTTCTTTATCACTAAATCCCCCTCGTGATAAGAATGGGGATTGACCTTTCTATCACAAGCCCTTTTTATTTTCTTTTGGTAGGCTTGTCCGTGACAAATGGTGTCCAATCATTTTTCTTCGATTAGGTTCAGCTGATCATACCGATTTTGGACCCATTTTGCTTCTGTCAACTTTGCTTCCATAATGACTCTCAGAGAGGGTATTTCGACTTCCACTGGCAGTACGACCTCCATCCCGTATACGAGGGAAAATGAAGTGGCTCCTGTGGAGGTCCGTACGGAAGTCTGATATCCGTGTAGGGCAAAGGGCAACATTTCATGTCAGTCTTTATATGTTATCACAATCTTCTGGATGATTTTCTTGATGTTTTTGTTGGTTGTCTTTACTGCACTATTCATTTTGGGTCGGTATGGAGAGGAGTTGTGATGGATTTTGAAATCATGACATAACTCTTCCATCATCTTATTGTTCAGATTGGTCCCATTATTAGTAATGAGACGATGAGGGATGCCATATCGACACAGGATATTTTCTCGACGAAGGTGGTCACTAATTTCTTGGTCACATGTGCGTAGGATGCCGCTTCTACCCATTTGGTAAAGTAGTCAATGACCACCAGGATG